TCGGGGCGTTGACCTAAGGAACCCTAAATAAGGAATGAGGCCCCTTTTTCCCATAAGTTAAACTTCGATTTCCCATGGAACCCCCACGCGAACTGTAAAACAATCAAGGAACACCGAGCCCCTCGCCAACGAGAAGGGTTCCTTCTGCAGCGCCCCGACTGTACAAGAAGCCGCTGACCTGCACGAGTCCGCCATAACCGTCAGGCGTTGTGCGTGGGCAGGAGCAAATGGAACCCGGCGCATACTGACAGAAGCGGCCACAGCAGCTCATGGCAGAAGCCGCCCTAGAACTCGACCTCCGCGTCCTCCCGCTGCTCTCCGAGAGAGGTTCGGCTGAACCTCCCGCTCGCACCCCTGGAGCTCGAACCCCCCGCCATCGAACTCTGCTCCCACTCGCGCGCGGAGTCCATCCGGAAGATTAGTGGCCGTCGGGCGGGCGCAACCCCCGATTCTGCCCACTCCCAGTCGGAGTTCAAACGATGCAACCTCCTAGCAGAATGGGCGCGCGCGACTGTCGAGGGTTCAGCCGACGGCGAGCTGGGTGACGGCCCCGCCAAAGCCATGGCCTCCTCCGTGGCGGTCCGGCGCCTCGTCAGGACCCGCACAAGGTCTCCAGATCCTTGTCGTGCATGCTGCTGGTACACGTGAGGGTTGTGCTGTACGTGGAACATCTCGTGACGCGTAAGGATCCCAACCAGGAGGTACTCGGAGTTCACTACCAAGAGCTGCCGCAGCCCGAAGGTCCTGGAGGTGAAGAAGGCCTGCTCCATCGAGCTCATCTGGTGGATTGTCACTGGCGCGCGGCTCATCCAACGATGGAGGTCCAGTTCCTGACCCAAGTGCATGGCGTCGACATGGTCGAATACGGGGTTCCCCTGGCCACCGAGCACCTTATGGGTGGCGAGGTAGTGGTTCGTCAAGCCGATGGTGGCGGGGGAAGCCGCGAGGTCCTCGCCGTCGGCAAGGAAGTCCTCGACATTGGCGAGGATGACCTCGAGGTGCGACCTGGTGATTATCCCGTGCAGCCTCTGGACCTCCATCGACTCGACCACTGGGAAGCCGTTGTGCGTAGTATCGGACAACACCTTCAGGATGTCCATCACCTTGACGTTCACCGGCAAACAAATCACAGGCCTCTGCATCACTTGGTAGCAACGCAGCTGCTGGAAGGCCACACTCGGCTCTGGCTCCACAAAAGGGACGTGCCTCATGTGGAGGACCATGTCGAAGAATGGCTCCGTGAAGTAATCTCCGGTGAACTTTGCGGCGCCAGCTGTGAGCATGATCGGAAGGAGCAAGTTAAGATCGTTTGATATCTCCAGCATAATGACGGTGATCGCCACAGAGATCCGAGTGACTCCGCTCACGAACCCCGCAGCACCACACACAGCGTATGCAGCGGTGTCCATATTCCCTAAGTAAGATAAGCTGGACTTGAGCATAAGCCCGTATGAGCGTCCAAAGCTGGCACCGATGACGATCATGGGTATGAAGATGCCTGTTGCCATTGAGCACCCTGCGATGAAGCACGTACCGACGGCGAACAAGCATGCGTAGAGGAAGAGAACCGAGATGGGGAAAGGTTCCATGCCGTTAGAGGGGTTGAAGAGATAGTTCACAATCTGTTCCAGTGAGCCGAACATCAAGGATGCTAGGGGGTTGTACTCAGCCTCGGGATCTTCGCACCAGAGGCCCTTGGTTGCCTCTTTGAGCTCACCGTTCTTGGGGGTGCTGTGTTCTGGGAACTCCTTCTCCTTGTAGCGGCACGGCACGAGGCTGGGCAGCAGGAACCAGGCGGTCGAGATCAAGAGTGCAAACAGCGCGACCTCGGCAATCTGCCTGCGGCGGTTCACGCGGATGAACGTCTTGCGATAGCTGCCGTTCACAACCTTGACGTTCACAAAGTTGAAGGCGGCACCCATGAGCCCCAAGAACACGCCCAGAACCAAGAAATTGGGGATCTCCCGAAGTTGCCACTGCCGAGTCTGCCCCGCATAGAAGATGCCTTCGGTATGGAATTTCTTGCCGCCGAGGGCCGAGTCGAGCAGCACGGTCACGAAGTAGGAAGTGAAAGAGCAGATCCGCCGCCGCGCCCCCTGGCGCGCCGAGGCGCGATGGAGAGCCCAAGGGCCCCCGTAGGGTTTCTGTGAAGAGGAGGAGGAGGATGAGGAGCAGGAGGAGGAGGAGCAGGAGAGGGAGGAGGAGGGGGAGAAGGAGGAGGAGGAGGAGGAGGAGGAGGGGGAGGAGGAGGAGGAGGAGGAGGAGGAGGGGAGGAGGAGGACCCCCTCCCCTTTCCCCAGCAGCAGCTGTGTGACTGTGTGCTTCGCCCCCCCCCCCCCCTCCGAGGGCCACGACCCCTTGCAAAAAAAAAACGGAGGGCCCGCGCTCCCGAGGCCACGACCCCTGGCAGGA